TGGTGCCTGAGTCTCTGTCTGTGGCGCTGATGGTGCCTATGTGCAGGGCGGGGCTGTTGTTTTCGGGGACGAAGAGGGTGTAGGAGGATTGGGTGAAGGTCGGGGCGTTGTCGTTGACGTCTGAGACCAGCACGGTGATGCTGTGCTGGGTTTTGAGCCTGGGTGTGCCCAAGTCGGTGACGGTGATGGTGATGTTGTACTCAGATCTAGTCTCTCGATCCAAAGCTGTGTTTGTCACAAGAGTGTAAAAGTTCTCTACAGAGGGTTTCAGGAAGAAAGGAAGATCATCTTGGATGGAGCAAACTGTCTTTCCGTTGTCTCCTGAGTCAGGATCTGAAACACTGAATACAGCAATTACCGTTTCCTGCAAGTTTTCTGGTATCTGATTGGTAAGTGTGGACATGGTTAGTTCCGGAGGATTGTCATTCAAATCCAGCACTTGGATAAACACCACACAGTTTCCAGAAAGGCCCCCACCATCTATCCCCTGAATATTTACTGTGTAAGTCTGAACTGATTCATAATCTAGTTTCTGTTTCAAAAGGAGTTCTCCGGAGTTTACATTTATTTCAAAAGTTTTGCGAATTTCTTCAGAGGCTTGGGAAAACACATACGTTATTTGTCCATAGGTTCCAATGTCTAAATCCCTAGCAGAGACGGTAGCAACCTGGAATCCTACGGAGCTGTTCTCCGGGACCTGCACCTCATAGAGCAGCTTTGTGAACTCAGGGGCGTTGTCATTGATGTCCAGTACTTCAATGATGACCAGGGCGGTGCCGGATCTGTGTGGGGTCCCGCCATCTAGGGCTGTGAGGGTTAACCTAATCTCAGGCTGTTCTTCGCGATCCAGTGCTTTGACCAGCACCAGCTGTGGTACTATGCCTTCGGGACTGTCTTGTAATTTAAGATGAAAGTAGAAATTGGGGCTCATAGTGTAATTTTGGAGACTATTGCTTCCTACATCTAAGTCCTGAGCACGTTCTATTAGGAAAGTCGTTCCAGGAGTGATACTTTCTGAAATTTTCAAAATCATTTCTTTGTCTAGGAACACAGGAGAATGATCATTTATGTCCCTAATCTGTAGCTCGGCCTGAAAAAACTGCAAGGGATTTTCCAGTAACACCTGGAAAGGTAATACACAGGGTTCGGTGGGCCCGCACAGCCCCTCCCGGTCCAGTTTCTCATTTAATAGTAAATCTCCGGTCCATCTATCTAACTGTAAACTCATTTTTTTCCCCTGGGAAATGACCCGAGGTCCCCGCACAGCTAGTTCTTCTGCCTCAAGCCCCAGATCTTTTAACAAATTGTGTACAAAGGAACCACTTTCAGATTCCTCAGCCACTGAATAGCGCCTAGACTCAGAACCCGCCAGAGCTATGCCCAGCAAAACAAAGAATATCAGGACTTGCCTTTGTCTCCAAACGCGTTCCTTCCCCTCTCTGGCCTCCATCGCCTTCTGATTTCCCAGCTCACTTTGTCGCTGATTCGATCTCCAAATATCTCGCAGACACTGTGATAATTTGTAAATCCTAGGTCCTGGATATTCCGGAACAGCCACCTTAAAAAGCCTCTTCTTCCTGCTGTGCTTCTCTATTAACTGAGTATCTGTGTAAAGTAGCTGGGCGTTTGCTTTGTTAGCTCTACTTGTAAGGCTGCAGCGCCACCCCGCGTCCTTTCTGAGCATTTGTTTTCTTTAAAACGAAAATCCCAACGCTTTCTTTCAGATTGGACTACTTAAATGGAATATTTTCAATTATTGTTTCCTCATGTGTTAAAGTCTTATTTGAGTTTCAGAAGGCTTTCATTTCATCTGTACTGATATGAGAAGCTATTATATAAATCACTGCAATTTTCTTATATATCCAAGGGGCTCTGGCAGGAAAAATCAAATTTAGAAATTGAAGAGGGACCTCAGACCATTGATTCAGCGGAAAGAAGACTTTGATTAGAAAGTTGATGAGTTTTCATCCAGATATTGGGAATATGAATATCTGGATGGTGGTTAGGTTACCATTCTCACACTAAAATCCAACTGAAAAGCATACAGACCCAAGAAAGGCCTGCAATTCAACAAGGATGGTCTGTTGGACGCTGTTCTTTCTTGCATTGCTCCTACTTCACATTTCCTTAAATTTTGATGGGATTGAGCCTCTTAAAAAATCTCCAGGAGCAGCTAGGTAATTTATTTTTGTGTGTACATATCAACATTTTTATTTTCCTTTCTAAAAGATCTAATATTTTGTATAAACTCAATCTATTTTTCACATCTAGCAAGTTTAATAATGCAATAGTATCAATTACTCTGTAAATACTAAAATTTCCTCAGTTATTTTTAAAGTGTCTTTAAGGAGATGATTTGTTAAATCAGATTCCAAAGTATATATGTTGCAGTTTGTTGTCAGGTTTTTTGAGTTACTGGCCCATGTTTTTTTTTTTTTTTTTTTTTTAATTCTCGGTTAAAAGAAATTGTCAAGCCACAAAAACACATAGAGAAAACTTAAACAAATATTGCTTGGTGAAAGAAGCCACTCTGGAAAGACAGAGCATTATATTATTACAACTACATGACACTCTGGTAAAAGCAAATTTATGGAGACATTAAAAATATCAGTGGTTACTAAGGGAAAAAGAAATGGAAATAAAATGGGAAAAAACAGGTGATTTTGGAAGAGTATATGCCATTAATCATTTGTAAAAATCCATAACTAGTATAACACAAAAAGCTGACCCTAACGCAAACTGCAATCGATAATTTATCAATATGATTTCAATAGTTTTAATGTGTGTGCAATGCTAAGGCAAGGTATTAATGATACAGGAAGCTGTGAATGCCAAAGAGACGGTAGCCTGGAATTCTGTACTATTCGTTCAGTTTTCTGTAAAACCTACAGTTGCTCTAAAAAGTCTATTACAGTAATTTTTAAAATTTGTGTTAAGAAAATTGTCAAATATTTAGAAAAGTTGAAAGCACTGTGTGATAAACAATGCTATCTTTCAAACTAAATAATTGTTTATATTTTGCCATATTTGTTCTCTCTTGAAGAATAAAATTATTTTTGCTGATCACATTGAAAATTGCTTGCAGGTGTCATGATTCTGCACCTCAAAATATTCAGGATTTACCTCCTAAATATAAGGTCATTATCCTATATGATCATAATGCTACTTTTGTTATCAAGGAAAAAGCCAAAAATGTCCTTTAGCTTCACTTGAATTGACTTAAAAATCACTAAGTTTAGAAGTATCACAGCTGGGTAATATATGTTATTAGTTTTCCACGATCTTTGCATTAGATAACACCTTTTCTATGTGGGTTATGATGACAAAAACTGCCTGGGTTACTTTTTAAGGACTTGAAGTCCTCTTTTGCTGAAAACACTGACTCTTTCTTTGGGCCTGCAGATGTCTGAACATCTGGAATAGGCTGAAAATTCTTGACATCTCTGTCTTCACATTGTCTGTCTTTTAAAAATTAACTTTATTGATACAGTTTAGATACACATAATGATCACATTCATCATAGGGAATTTGTACCTGTGCATGGTATATTTTAGTTCCTCTTTTTTATTCCCATTCCCCTTCCCTCCCTTAAGCCCTCTTCCCCTCTTAGCTCCTTTTCCCCTCCTTATTTACAAAGCTTTGTTTCCATTTTATCATTTTTTCTTTTCCCTTACTCCTCCTAGCTGAATTCCCAGTTCCCTTTTCCTTTGGAACAATTTCTTCCCATTTCCAGAAATGGAAAGGCTGATATGTGAACAAAGCTCCCTCTACTTTCTTTAGCCACTGATTGAATGAAACCTGTTTCTCCCTGACATTTGTCTCTTGGACATTGATTTTTCTGTGGGATGACCTTCTGGACCTGAGTTTATTTATTTATTTATTTATTTATTTATTTATTATTTTTATTTTTATTTTTTCCCTCGGTATCAGGAATCAAACTCAGACCTTGCACTTGCTAGGCAGGTGCTGTGCCGCTGAGTTAAATCCCCAGCCCCTGAACCTGGGTTTAGTAACACTATCACACCTATGAAAATGAACAATAATACTTCAATATTATTTTTAAAGTAATGTTAAATCTCCCTAATTATCCTCCCACTATCCTCCTCTAATTTTCTTCAACTGTGATAAAAGAGTACATTTGCTGTTGAATTCGCTTTACAAGTGCAGTTTTCTTAACTTCTTCTTCTAAGGAATGTCTCAGAAACTTTTTTTAAAACCAAGTTCTATGACTCTATTTGGCATTGTGTCTGTTGACTCTAGAATAGCCCCTTACCTCTCATTTAACATTTAATTTTTTGAAATGTCTAGAGAAGTTGTCTTATGCGATGTCCTATAGCCTAGATTTGTTTGGTTTTCTTCCTCATGATGTCATTTATCTTGTTTTCTAACCCTTCGATTTCCCTAAGACTGAGATGGATGATTTATTAAGTGTAGTAATGGTATAACATTTTAATTTTACCATTTAAGCTGATGGCATAATTATACCATTTAAATTATGCTATCATTTAATTTCTAAAATTGTACAAAAATGAGTTGGGCAACCATGGGGTTCCTTTCTTAACGTTTATAAAGATGCTGAATTCTAACATTATGTTGTCATACATTCTTTGCTTCCTAGTGCCCATACTTTCCAATGCAAGGCAAAGAATAGTGATGCAGTTTTGTGATAGCAAGCAGGCACAGCTTCAACAATGTATACCTCTGCAAACTTCAAGGAAATCTGCAAAGCAAAATAATGTGGAGTATGTAGATCTGTAGGGTACTGATGTGCAGAAAGGTGATTTCTAGGCTATATATTATGAATGGCAGTTTGAATACAGTGTCATGTATACAACCCTGGTGCTGAGAAATAGCCTGGAGCTTCATGCCTGTTTTCCTAAGAAGAACTCCCTTTCCTAAGAAGAACTCCTAAGGAATGTATACCACTTCACAGATTGGATCTGCTCTCTTCACCAAAGTGTGGCAAGTCATATATTCTTTGCTTCAAGATGCCCACATGGAATGAACTGAAGACAATATATAGTGATGCAGTTTGTGCTAGCAAGCAGGTACAGCTTCAGCAATATACAGCTCAGCAAAATTCAAAATTCCAAAACACTTGGAGTATTTGGATCTGTAGCTAATTGATTTGGAGAAACTTGATTTCTAGGTTGTATCCTGTGAATGTCAATTTGCATACAATGATATGTATATAGACCTGGGGCCAAAAAATGGCCTGGAGCTTCATGCTTATATCCTGAAGAGGTGCTCATTGTATGAAATGTATACCACTTAATCTTTGTTAAGGATTAATTTAATACCTTATTTGGAGAAGTTCTTGTGTAATTCTGCCCTTCTTGAGTACTTCCCTCCCTTCTCCCAAATAACCAAATAAATACAGGCCACCCAGAAAAGGTCTTGGTCTTAGCCCTGAGGGAATCTTGAATTCTGTGAGAGGGCTTTGATCTTTCTGGAGTCCTGAAAGCATTCCAGTTGCCTCTTTTTATTTAGGCTTCACCATACACTCATTTGGAAGACTGTGGACCTGATCAGCCTGCAATAACTAAGGGATACTATTAACCTGATGCCTTGCCCCTGCTGCTGCATCCGCCCCTGCCCTGCCTCCCTACTCAGGTATAAAGCTCCAGCCCAGGAAACTCACCTTTATGGTAAGTGAAAAGGCCCAGTATCTCCTCCCTCTGGTTCCTTCTGTACCTCTCTCCTCCTCTATGTCTCCTTCATAAGTACTGGCAGCTATACATTGTTTCAGTCCTCAAAGAAGCCCAAGCCATGCATAAGATGGCAGCCACACACCTACCAAAGGAACAACTATACCACCACTCCAGCAATGCTGGCCTCTAGACTGTAACTAACCACACTGGCCCATCTACAGAATGTGAGACAAGAAGAGAGCACCAACCAGGAGGTGTCACACTTGGGAAACTGTGGTCATGTCTGGTCCAGCCAGACAGCATGTGAAGTGTGGCTGGATGAGGAAATGCTACTGTTGGGCTCTATGTCTCCCTTACAAATGGCACTAAAAGAAGCCAGATGGGCAGGGGAGCCCATGGAGGGCTTTCAACATATCTACCCTGTAATTGAAGTTCAAGTCCCTGAAAATCTGGGACAACTTGTACATTGTTATGAAGCTATACCTTTTAAAATCCTAAATGAGTTAAAACAAGCTGTTGCTACATATGGCCCTACTGCTCCCATTACCTTGAATTTAGTAGAAATTCTAGGACAACAGATTATGGCCCCAAATGATTGGAAAAGAATAACTACAGCATGTTTAAACACAGGAGATTATTTGATATGGAAAGGAAATTTCTTTGAATATTGCACAGATCAGGAAATTTGTAATGCTGTTCACTACATAGCTATCACAAAGGATATGCTAATTGGAGAAGGTGCCTTTGCTATCACAAACAACCAACTGACCTTTAAATTGCCAGCATATGAGCAGATCAAGACAGCTGCCATGAGGGCTTTGAGGGAACTTCTTTCTAAGGGGGATGCATCCCTTAATTTGGCTTCTATTCATCAGGGGGCTGAAGAACATATTCCAACAGAAAATTTACCCTAAAATGATCAATCTAGAGTGATTTTCAGACTTTATTTGGTAATACTGGCACCATCCAGATTTGGGGCTAATTTCTCTGGTGTTATTAATTGTCATTATCCATCAGACAAGTTCATCCAGTTTGCTTCTGTTTTCACAGGTGGGTCATCTTAGGTTAAGGGAAGCTATATGATGGCTTCCTCTTCCAAAATACAGGATACAGGTTTCTTACTGTACAATCAAAATTAAATTACAAAAACAAAAGGGGGAATTATTCACCCCACTTCACTTGGCAACATATACTATTTAATTTTTAAATTTCACAAAAGATGAAGTATAGCACCAGAAAGATGAGTCAATCAGGTAAAACAAAAAAAGCTAACTTGGGATCCAAGATATGTTTGTGTTTTGCTAAAGCATGCTATCTGGCTGTATTATGAACTTAGATCTGGAGAAGTTGGTTCTACCTTTCAGAAGGCTGGTGTGTCATACTGTGACAGTGACACCTCAGAGATCAGTCAATAGATAGTAATGAGGCTAGATTTGACCAGGGGTCTATTGAAGAAACTGACAAAATGGAAATTTAAGGTCTAAGTAAGTGATAGAGTATATAGAGATAACTGAGCTGAAAGTTACCAGTACTCTTAAGACCTAATAAAATATAAAATATGCATATTCATTATAGATAAAAGACTCTATTCCTTCCAAAATTTTTCTGATGAGTTCTGTGCTAATTGACAACAAAATCTGAGTAGTCTATTTATAGAAATTATAAATTTCTAAAATTGTAATAGAGTATAATTCAATTTAGTCAAAATATATTTGAGTGCACTCTGATTTTATAAAGATATTTGTTCATTTGTTCTGTGTACTTACTTGTTTATGTGTTTGTCTCCCATTCTGTGAACAA